ACACCGCGGTCTGTGTGGACGGTGACACGTACGCCCCCTTGGCCACTTTTCGCCAGGAGCCGGGCTCCGGTCTCTACACCCTCCACACCGACCCTCGTCAGGTTCCTCCGTCCCACCAGGTCGCCAGGTCCAGTCAGGTTGCTGTGTCCGGTCTAGCTGCTGCGTCTGGTCAGGTCCCCACGTCAGGTCCAGTTGCTGCGTCGTGCTCCTGCCGGTCGCTTGCTCACCCCACCGTTCTGTGGCACCACCGGATGAAGCACCTGTCCATCCCTCGTCTCCGCGCTATGTCCAGTCAGCGTCTTGTCTTAGGCCTCCCCCGAGTCCTCCCGCCACTCCCGCCGTCCCCAGCTCCTCCGTGCGGTCCTTGTGTCCAGGGCCGGCTGCGTGCCACCCCTCACTCCTCCTCCCTTCGTCCGGCCACCGAGCCCTTTCAGACTCTCCACTTAGACGTCTGGGGCCCCGCTCCCCGCCTTGGCCCTGAGCGGGAGAGTTTCTTTCTGGTGGTCGTTGACGACTACTCTCGGTACACCACCGTGTTCCCTTTGGCGAAGAAGTCCGACGTGACTTCTACGCTGATCCGGTGGCTCCTCGCCACCGAGGGCACTCGTGGTCGTCGTGTCAGTTGTCTCCACTCCGACCGTGGGGGCGAGTTTCGCTCCGGCATTCTCGCTAGATTCTGTGCTGAGCAGGGCATCACCCAGTCCTGGACTCTTCCAGACTCTCCACAGCAGAATGGGGTTGCTGAGCGCCGCTTAGGCCTGGTCATGGAGATCGCCCGCACCTCCATGATCCACGCTCGCGCGCCCCATTTTCTGTGGCCCTACGCGGCTCGGTACGCCGCTCACCAGCTGAACCTCTGGCCTCGCGTCTCTCGGCCAGGGGCTTCACCGACCAGTCTTTGGACAGGGTCCCCTGGTGTTGCGTCGAGGTTTAGTGTCTGGGGCTGCTTGGCTCTTGTCCGCGACACCTCTGCGGACAAGATCTCGCCTCGCGCTGTCCCCTGTGTCTTCCTTGGTTTCCCAGAGGACTCCTCTGACTTCACCTTTTACCACCCTCCCTCCCACCGGTTCTTTGACTCTCGTGACGTCCGTTTTGACGAGTCCGTCCCCTACTACGTCCGGTACCCCTGTCGAGGTCTCCCGGTTCCCCCCCCTCCCCTCTTCCTGGCTCCAGCTCCTCCTCCTCCCGCCCCTGCTCCTCCGGTACCCCCCCCTGTTCCCGCTCCGTCTGGTGTGTCCCACGCTACTCCCCCCCCCTCGGTACCCCCCCAGGTCTCTCCTCCTTCCCCACAGTCGTCCTCACAGCCTCCGCAGGAGCTGTCAGCGCTTCCTTTACCGGCCACTGCGGACTCTGAGGGTGTTGGTGCTCGAGGTGAGGGCTCTGGCGGTGCTCGCTCTGGGGATGCGGGCGTAGGAGCTGAGAGTGCACCTGTCGCACCTGCCCGTTCCGAGGGTGCTGGAGCTGGTGGTGTTTCTGGAGCTGGAGGGTCTGGGGCTGGTGCTGGTGCCCCTGGAGGCGCCACGACTGGGGGTGCGGCTACACCTCCTACAGGTTCTGCTCGTGCTGCCGCGGGAGGTACTCGCTCTGGGGGTGCTCAGCCGGGTACTGTCGAGGACGGCGCCGGTTCTTCTACTGCGCCTCCTGCCACCACTCCTCCTCCTCACCCCTACCCGACTCGTTACCAGGCCCTTCTTCGTCTAGAGCGTGAGGAGCAGCAGCGTTTGGAGCGTGAGAGGTCGGAGGTTCAGCAGCGGGTGGAGCGTGAGCGGTTGGAATTGCAGCAGCAGCAACCCTAAACCCTAAACCCTAAGCCTCCGGCCCCTGTTTCTGGCCTTCGGGCCCTTGGTCTCCCCTCCTCTCCTCCTGTGTTCGGTCCTACGTTTCCTCCTCCGGACTCCACTCCGGCTGTCTTCCCTCGTTCTCAGTCTCCTCCGTCCCCCCCTCCTCTCGCCCACACTTGGGCCTCTCGTCCTCCTCGTGCTCGTCCCTCGTCCCCTGTCACTGACCTCCGTACCGTGTTGTTTCGTCCTAGTCCTCCTCGTTCTCCTCCGTCTGTCCTTCCTCGTCCTCCTGAGTCGTCCCTCACTGCCTCCCTGTCCACTCCGGTCACTGACTACTACCGCGCGTACCGCCCCACTCTCTCTCGTGTTCTCGCCTCTCTTGTTACAGACCCTCGTGCCTCTCCTTCCTCCGTCGCGGTCCTCACTGCCGCTGTCACTGACTTTACTGCTACGCGTCGCCTTGACTACGCCACTCGTGTTGTGGCCGCTCCTCCTGTCCGTCCTCTGTCCGCCGGGGGTGAGTCTGCCCTTGGCTGTGACGTCCTAGAGGACAGACAGTTTGAGCTAGAGTTCCTGGCAGCTGCTTCACCTCATCTCTGTGCCATGCTGCTCACTCCTGAGGGAGACCCCGACGCTCCTGACATACCTACTCCTCGCACTTACGCTGAGGCAGTGTCAGGGCCTTGGGCCTCTCAGTGGAGAGCTGCCATGGACGCAGAGATGGCCTCCTACAGGTCCACAGGCACTTACGTTGACGAGGTTCCCCCCCCAGGGGCGAACATCGTTGACGGCATGTGGATCTTCAAGGTGAAGCGGCCGCCGGGACCTTCCCCAGTCTTCAAGGCACGCTACGTGGCTAGAGGGTTCAGTCAGCGTGAGGGAGTTGACTTCTTTCAGATTTTCGCGCCCACCCCGAAGATGACTACTCTTCGGGTGTTACTGCACGTAGCAGCGCAGAGAGACTACGAGCTTCACTCTCTTGACTTCTCCACTGCCTTCCTCCAGGGCCGCCTACACGAGGAGATCTGGCTGCGTCGTCCTCCGGGCTTCACTGGCACTTTCCCGCCTGGGACCCAGTGGAGCCTCAGACGACCGGTCTACGGTCTCCGCCAGGCACCCCGTGAGTGGCACGACACTCTCCGCTCTACTCTCTCCGACCTCGGGTTTGAGCCGTCTTCCGCCGACCCGTCGCTGTTTGTTCGTCGTGGGCGCACACCTTTCTTTGTTCTGGTCTACGTTGACGACTTGGTTTTTGCCACAGCCGACACAGCTGCAGTGGCGGAGGAAAAGTCCGAACTGCAGAAGAGACTCACCTGCACTGACCTTGGGGAATTGTGCCGCTACCTTGGCCTGCAGATCTCCAGGGACAGAGCCGCTCGCACCATCACTCTGACTCAGTCACACATGGTGCAGCAGGTCCTTCAGCGGTTCGGGCTTCAGGACTCTTCTCCTGCCCCCACTCCTCTTGCTGTAGACCACAGACTCACTGGGCCTTTTCCTGACGAGCCGTTCGAGCCCAGTGGTCCCTACGCAGAGCTGGTGGGCTGCCTCATGTACCTGATGACGTGCACTCGCCCGGACCTCGCCTTCCCTCTTAGCATCCTGTCTCGCTTTGTTGCGACTGGGAGACACCGTCCTGTTCACTGGGCGGCGGCTAAGAGGGTGGCGAAGTACCTTGGCGCGACATCAGGCATGGGGCTTGTACTTGGAGGGACACAGCCAGTTGTACTCACCGGTCACTGCGACTCCTCCTACGCCGACGACGTTGAGACTCAGAGGTCTACGCAGGGTTACTGTTTCAGCCTGGGTACTGGAGCTGTTTTGTTGAGGTCTACTCGGTCCTCCTCGGTTGCGACTTCTACCACACATCTACGCTGGGGCCCTTGCTGCTCAGGAGCTACGCTGGTTGACCTTTTTGCTCACTGACCTTGGTGAGCGGCCGAGCTCTGCACCGACCCTGTTTGCTGACAACAGGGCGATGATTCTCCTGTGTCGTGAGCCTCGACTGGAGAGCAGAGTGAAGCACATCGACGTCAGGTACTTCCTCCTTCGAGAGTTGCAGAGACGCGGGCAGGCTCGTCTGGACTTCGTGGCCTCCGAGGCCAACACTGCAGACATTTTCACCAAGGCTCTTCAGCCTTGTGACCACCGCCGGTTCTGTCTGCAGTTGGGCCTCGTTGAGACTGGGTCGAGTAGACTGCAGTAGTGAGTGCTTGTCTCTTGTCTTTGCTTGTACTGCATATATTTGCATATACACTCTTGAACTGGCCTTGTGGCCGCTGTTTGCGCTCAGACTGTGTGGTGACGTTGTGATCCACCCTGAGCTTTGTTTTGTCTCTTGTTTATGACTGGTCTTGTGACCTTAGGTTGTTTGTTGTTACTTTGCACTCCCCACTTAGGCTATGGGTGTGTGTCAAATGTTCTAGCCATTAGTGGGTTGTGCAATAGGGGGTACAAACAGTTAGGGTTTGAATATGTACCCCAATCTGTCTAATGCAACTCATTCCACTGTAGCCACATTCTGAGAATGGTTACTGTATATCAAACTGTATTCTCACCTTGAATACAGAACAAGGTGAAACAAAACAAGGTGAAACAAAACAATGTGGTGTACTGCTGCACGAGGGATGTTGGTGAATACTGGCGGTTGAAACCGTCGATCCGAGGGTTCACATTTACCGACATCCCTCGGGCATTCACTTTGTACATGCCATAACACTGCTCTGAGAACAGTGTGTGCAATTTGGTAGCCTTTAGGTGGTTGAGGGGTTATTGTGCAGATGCCAGGAGGGTATGCTACAGATCAACTACATATTCAAATGCAGAGGTTTTGATAGTGACTCACATTCCTCACCGTCCACTATACGAATATTCCAAACGCCAAAAGTGAGATATAATCAATCAATGCCTACAAGTCTAAAGATCAGAACCAGAAGAAACGGACGGCAAAACCACAACACACATGCATCAAATCACTTTCATGGAATCTGTCAATAATGGTTCCTCACAAGACACCTGCCTCGGGGCAAATTAGACCCACACACGCATCCACCCCTGCTGCCCCTTCCACCCAAGGTGACTTGTGTGCCGACTCAAACGTCCCGGCTTCCTTTTCTTCTGCTCCATTCTGCTTGCCACCTATGCATAGAATAATTGTACATCCATCTTTTTACATCGCGGCGGCAACTGCTTCTGCAGCTGAGACACCAGTAAGGCCCCTTAAACGTGGCCCTGCAGGACCTCAGCAGCAGCTTCTGCCTCCACTCCACTGCTTCCCCCCTCTGCCTGCTCCACTGGCCTCAACTCATTCCCTGTCTGCTCTTCACTCCTCTCCCCGTCTGCTTGTTCCCGAGTCACCTCATGAGAAGATGCCTCCACTCCACTGCTCTCCCCCTCTGCCTCCTCACTTACAGTGTCAGGAAGCAGAAGGCTTCCCACGTGGTGCCTCCTCCTCTCCCCCACCTTGCTCCTACGCTTTTTCCTATCCCCGTTCTCCTTCTCCCCTTCCCCTTTCACCTTGCCCCCCTGCTCCTTATCCCCTTTTTGCTCCTCCGCCTTCCCCCCATTCCCCCTTTCCATCCCCCCCTTCTCGCACTCGCCGCTCCCTTCCCTCCTCAACCCACGCCCTTTGCCCCTCTTCCTCCCAACCATACCCTCCACCCCTTCAACACCAACTCCCACCCTCTCCCCTTTTCCCCCCCTCGCGCCATCACCACTCCCACCTCCACCACCACCCTTCTCCAGGGCCAGTTTTGCGCGGTACTCTGCAAAGGTCGGGAGGGTGGTGACCGAGGCAGCGACAGGCGGTCGGAAGGGCAGCCCGCGGGGATCGGAGATCGACACAAGGCGCCGCTGCACGTCGGTGTGAGACGGCTTCTGGCCTTCATCGCGAGAGGGCTGATAGCAGGGCTTGCTGCTGTGCTGAGATGCTAGCCGCTGCGGCATGCCGTATGGCCGGAATGATGGCTGCGAGCTGCTGCTGCTGCTGCTGCCGCTGCTGCCGCTGCTGCTGTTACCACTGCTGCTGGTGCCGCTGCTGTTGGTGCTGTCGTTGTTCTTGTGCCCGCGTGCCGCGGTGCTGTGATTGGCCAAGCTGCGCTGGCATGTGGGTATACCCCCGTGGGTGGGAATTCTCCCACGGCTGGGCTTCACTGCTGGTCCTGCAGTGCCGACCTCAGTAGCATGCGACCCTGCATCCTCCACCACAGCAGCAGCAGCGGCACCTTCCATTCCACTGACAGAAGCTGTTGCTCCCTCAATGTCGCTAGCATCTGATGGTACTGCCGCCGTCCCAGCCGCCCGCGCCGTCGCCGCCGCCGCCGCTGCTGCTGCCGCTGCCGATGCCGATGCTTCTGCTGCTCCTGCTGCTGCTAGTTCCGTGGAATCACCAGCAGCTTCCGAGAACACCTGGTTTTGCTCAACCACAGAAGAAGCCTGCGCCAGGCCATCCTCCCGAGCCTCCAGAACCTCCCGAGCCTCCTGAATCTCCCGAGCCTCCAAAGGTTCGGGGAGGTAAGGTGCCCGTCCCTCATACGCACTGTACACAAGCGGTGCCGAGAAACCGGGCGGCAGGAAATCGTCGCTGTCGTCACTGTCCTCCTCCTCCTCCTCCTGCCCCCTTCCCTCCCCTTGCTGCTCATCCCCTCTCCAGAACCCACCCTGCGTCTGCCCCAGCTGCCCGGAAAAAAACCCTCCCCATCTCCCGCCCTTCCTACCCCATCCCCTCCCCCCGCCCGCCACAGAAACTGCCGCCTCTGCAATTCCACCTCCCCCCATCCCCTTACCCCACCCTCCCCCACTCCCACTCCCCATCCCCCACCCGCCGCCACTCCCACTCCCCTTCCCCCATCTCCCCGCACCCCCACTCCCCCGAACTCCCGTTCCACTCTCCTCTCGACCCCCATCTCTCCGCCCCTCCCCGCCAACGCCAACCCCCAGATGTTCATGGTGCCCCGAAGCCAGCTCACCGCACGAGTTGGAGCGGTGCAGGGAGCGCTGCAGGGAGGGCGTGTGCGTCCAGAGGTAAGCCATGGTCTCCCCAGCTAGCTCTGTGGCTGTGCCGGCGCGTTCGAGCATTGACACTCGCTCCAATGCCCGCCGCCGAGCACTGTACGCTGATTTCAGTGCCGCCCGGGATCGTGACGGTGGATGACTGGGAGCTGTGATTGGTCCGTGGGGGGGAGCCTTTGAACTACACTCGCCGTGGTTCGGAGGAAAGTGCTCGGATGAAGCTTCCTGCTCTGTTGCTTCCTCCCCTGCCGCCAAACCAAACGCCGAACCGGAGCTGGTGGCTCGGCGGTGCGCCTTGCTGAAGCTGCCAGGCTTCCTGCTCCGAACCTTGAAACGGCTCTTAGCGTTGCTACCCACAATACCACTGCTGTTCTCGGAACCATTGCTGCTGCCACTAGCCTTACTCTCTAGAGCTTGTGTTGGTTTCAACGGCTCACTCCCTCCGTACCTTGTGCTCTCTGCACAGCCTGTATCCGATTCCTCTCCGTCCCATGCCCTGTCTGCCTCCTCACGTGCCAACAAGGGCTCATTTGCTGTCAGAGGGGACTCTAAACGCCCCTCCCCTCCGCTCCCACTGTCGTTTTTGACAGCAGCAGCAGAAGCAGCTGGGGCAGAGTCAGGGACCGTTACAGCAGCAGGAGTTGCTGCAGCAGATGGACCAGATGCAGCAGCATTGGCAACTGCAAAGGAATCATCTGAAGCATCGTGATGCAGCAGCAGCAGCAGCAGCAGCGGAAGTCGCAGCAGCAGTAGCAGCAACGGTAGTCGCATCGGGTGCATCAGAGGGAAAGAAGGCGTCGCAGGCAGTGAGGGGGACGAGGTCCAGCAGGGAAGCAGCAGTTAAAGAGTCGTGGCGGAGAATGTAGGAGGCTGTCGCCACGGCCGCTGCTGCTGCTGCTGCTGACGTGATGGGGACAGATGAAGGGGCCGGAGGGGTGGCAGTGGGAGGGGAAGCGGTGGTGACAGGAATGGGAGGGGAATCGGTGGTGGTGGCAGGAGGAGATGGAGATGAAGCGGCAGGGGTAGTGATGGAAGGGACGGAGTCTGAAGGGGAACGGGATGCGGACGAGGAAGAGGAGGGACAGGAGGAGGAGTAGGAAGAGGAAGAAGAGGAAGAAGAGGAAGAAGAGGAGGAAGACGAGGAAGAGGAGGAAGAGGAGATCAAGCACCCGGCATCTTTCCCAGAGCCACCCGCAAAGCAGCTCTCAGTGCGCCGGTTCCGCCCCCATCTCCCCCACCCTGCTCCGCGCGCTTCCCCCACGCCCCCTCCCCGCCTGTCCGCCTGCTTGTCCCCCCGTTTCCCGCCTTCTGCCTCGAGATCTCCCCCCAGCGCATTGGCTCCGCGCTGGTTTCGGGAGCGTCCCGCCTCTGGGTCTTCCCTCAGCCCGTCCCGACTTTTGAGGCGGCTTACATGGCCGTCGCGGCCAAATCCAGTGCGGAAACGGTTATTCTCGCCGCCCACGGGAGTCTGGGGCGTTGACTGCGACGGCCTTCTAACGGATGGTGACAATAACGAAGACGACGGAGGGCCAATCCGGGCCGGGCAACTTACAATCCCCCCTTCCGCGAATTCATCCGCTTTTCCCTCATCCGCCTTCCCCGCATCCGCGGACCCATCCGCTCCGCCTTCTCCTCTCCGCCCCTGCTGCCCCTCCCTCCTCTGTGTCCCACACTCCTCCGTCCACAGGGCTGCCTCCTCCTGCTCTTTTGTTTTCGGGCTGCCCGAGCTTTCTGCCCGAAGCAGCGGCAGGGCAGTCAGGCGCAGATTCAACTGGGGGAGGCTCACCCGCTCTCTGAAACGCGCCCGCCGTTCACTCTCTGGGCCGCCATCTACCGTCTCGTCAACCTCCGCACCCGCTTCCTTCGCTGCCTTCGCGTCCCCCTCCCCCCAGCCGCTGCTCCGCGCACCCCCTTCCGCCGCCTCTTCTCCGCTCTCGCCCGCGCATTCCCCGTCGCTTCTGCGCGCATTCCCTTCCCATCCACCGCTCTCGACCCCTCCGCAATCCGCCGGCGCATCTTCGTTGCTGACAGCCGGCGATTCGCTGCCCACAGAGAGGGTAGTTTCCGCGTTTACCATGACAGAATTGGGCGTTTCAATTGAATCAGCAATCATTGCAGCTGCCGTTAAATCATCGCATTTCGCCATCGGCCCAGCTTCACCCTGGAAACCCCCCTGAATCCTCTCAGGTACAACAGAGATCTTTAGCGTGCCGGGAGCGTCGACTTCGCGATGCTGTTCATCTACCTGGCACTCTTCGTCCTTCACCTGCAGGTTGTCCTTCAGGTGGTTCTTCAGGTTGTCTTCTACACGAGCCGATCGGAACGCTTCAATGTATTCACCACCCCAGGGCGCTGCGGCTGCTCTGGCCGGGCCGTCACACGATAACGGTTGCTCCTTCATCGCCGTCAAAATAGACGGCTTGTAACCATCACCGTTGCCGGCTGGGCCTTGTCCTCCGCAGCTCTGCTGCCGGCGATGATTTTCAGCTGCTGTCTTCTGACGGGTTACCACCTCGATTGGTTCGCCGACACCTCCGTTCGCCAGCACGCCAGGAGTGGCCTGCGTAAGCTCTAGCGACGGGCGAGGAGTAAACGAAATGATGTTGCCGCTTTCGCCAAGGCGGGAGAGTTCGAAGCCCGGCTGGAGGGAGTGGGACTTGAGCAGGCACAGAGCCGGCTCCATCTCGCGGCGGCGCGTTCCCCGTTCCTTGCGGAAACTTGATATCATGTTCTTAAAACGGGAGGATTCGCGCTCCGATGATATCGCCATCATTGATCTGACGGTTGAAGCCTCTTGCGACGTACGAGGAGTGAAGTTCGATTGGAAGAGCTCCTTTTAGACGTCTGGCTCGACGGTTGGAGTCTTTTGAGAAGTCTGGCCTGACGGTTGGATTTTGAGAGAAGGACTGCTTGTTAGGAATGTTCCGAAGAAAAGATAATGCAAGAAGACTGCGTAGTCAGAATAAGTTCATCGACCGTCCGCGGACAGAAAAACTAGGCGGGTTTGTCGTTACGGAGCCAGAGACTTGCTTCAATGGAACGACGCTGCCTGTAATCTGGGCTAGAGCGGCACTCCGTGATCCGACACGCGACGAACGAGCATGCTGAACGATAGGTTCGCTGCGACTGATAGTCCGACAGTTGACCAGATTGTGCTCTTGAGGTTAGCATAAGATCTCGATGTACATTGGGAGCTCAACTGATAATCCGATAGCTGATCGAATAGCGCTCTTGAGGCTAGCATATGATTTCGAAGCGCATCGGAAGCTCAACGCGAAGTGATATCAGGTGGACTGAATGGGGGGTACGGCATGGCTGAACTGATAGGAATGAGAACCGAGAGGATTGGGTAGGAGAGGAAGAAAGCATGGCTCAGATATTCCCATACAAGCCGTCAAGAAGTGGGCTGCATCCGATGTTCCCGAGGGCAAGAAATTCCCGAAAACCATTCGTAGCCTGCTAGTGGTGAATCCATCCACCCGTCGCATCCATCCTTGGCTGGAGATACCGAGACGCCTCTGCGCATCTCCACACATGTCGCTCTTGTGAACCGAGCCGTAACTCTCTGTAACGTGATCAATGAGCTCAGGACCGCGCGGTAAGGCTTACGTTGCGTGGAAATTTCAATACATATCTTGACAGTTCCTTTCTGCAACCGAGATTTAAGCCTATGTACCACATTTATAAGTAGTAGAACCGTGTTATTTCCATCTGGAACATGCTTCTCGGACCTTGGCGGTGCCTCCAGATTCCTCCATTTTCACTTGCTCCCAGCTACAGTACCGCCTGAGGCAGGGCAGGAGGGAACCAGCACCACCAAGGCAGCAAGCAAGCAATGCGCACAGGGATCCTCGGCTCCTCGTGCATCAAGGGCAGCGGCAACAGCCACATCAGACCAATCACGTCGTGTCGATCTATAACCGGCATTTCACCAAAAGAAAAGTGTAGTATGTGATAAAAAATGTATGCAATAACATCGGCCGTCGATTCCGCACATTGTACGTGCCAGATTTTCAGTGAACCCCCGCCTGGCCCTTGCCGTTTTGTTTGAACAGACAGCACTTTGGCCTGCTCGGTCCCCCAAAAAACTCCTGCCTGCCCTGATACACCCCATCTGCCCGCCCCTACCAGCCCGCTCATTCCAGCGAGGGTGGGCGCCCCCGCACCCACGGTGGCTAACGACACACCGTCACCTGCCAAAGTGCATCTGGTTACAGCCCAGGCAGGAAATCGTGAAATCTGTTTTCACTCGCAGCCCAATGGCGAATGAGTCTGAAGCCGTTCCAGACCGTGCGATATGAGTAGCGCGGCTGCTTCCGTGCATCAGCGAATTTCCAGTCTGCAAGATTCAAGTGTGACAGCCACTGGCATCTCCGTGTTCTTCCCAACGTAACGGCAGCGTGAACTTCCAGATATCCCCGGCAATGCTGGCTGCTAGACATCGCTATTTGCAACTTGCAAGATATGGCATTTAAAGCAGACACACATAAACAAATTTTAGCCATTACACAAAGCCAATAGGGCCGCATTAAAGGCAACAATTTTTCGCACAGTATCGTAATTCTAGGGGACAAAAAAGTTTTGGTATTGTAAAGGGAGCGTAATGTATTGGGTTATCAAAGAGTGAAAGGTGTTTCATGTTCCAGATGCTCCAAAAAGTGCTATCAACCGGTCTTGGGCCTTGTTATGAATGAACTTGCAGAGTGCGCAGTAAAACGAATAACGAGAATGAATGAACTACTGAATGACGATACAAGGAAAGTGACGAGGTTTTATAAGGGGAACCCTAGCTAGGCGAAGGGGTCGGGCTAGGATGGATCGGGAAGTGTTGCGATTGAAGCGGTGGCGACTCGGAAGTGGTTCGGGGCGGAAAAGTAGGCCGAACCAGGCTGACGCGTGGTGTTCGGATTGTACTCGCTAAAATGCGAGTACAGTAAGGAATTGTAATTCCTTACACTCTCCCACCTTCCAAATAAGGCCTCCCTGTATGTAGATGGAGCCTTCCTTAGCGAGTATGCCATTGATATCCTCTTCAGCTGAATCCGACAGCTGAAATTTCTTGTACAATAATTTTGAAAAGGTTGGAATGTATGTCAGAATCCCAGTCACTAACCACTGGGATAAAAGGGCTTGTTTATATAGCGGGTGAGTGCGCCCATAACCCCCCAGGCCAACGTGTCTGTAACCCTTCCCTAGGATCAATCGGGGATCACCAGTGGCACTCTGACACCCCCCCGCACTGGGATGCCCGAAGTGCACACACCGGGATTCGAACCCGAGACCTTCGCTCTGATACCATGTCAGAATCCCAGTCACTAACCACTGGGATAAAAGGGCTTGTTTATATAGCGGGTGAGTGCGCCCATAACCCCCCAGGCCAACATGCCTGTAACCCTTCCCTAGGATCAATCGGGGATCACCAGTGGCACTCTGACAATGTAGGCCGTCGATGAAGTGGGATCCCGATCTGACGGCTACAGATGGCCTGGCCCAATTTGAATTGGAGGTTGGAATGTGGGCCGTAGATGAAGATTGATTTCGATCTGACGGACGCGAACACTTCTGACGAAAACGAACTGAAAGTTGGAATTCAAGCCGTTGATGCACTTTGAAGTCGATCTGACGGTCGACTATGACGCGAACTTGGGGGGAACCTGCTGACGCGGTGATCAGTCGCGACTGTACAGGAACCATTGATTTCGATGAAGGCAATCGCAGTCGTACGTCGTGCTGACGCATTCTGACAAGGTCAGAAATCGTGCCGAAGAAAATGCCGAAGGAAAACAGTGCAGCGCACTTTCTCCCCCCTCCCAAGAAAACTGTCACAAAAACTTTCACAGCTGCGCCGAGGTGAGAAAACAAACAAAACCAGCCGTTAAGTCGCACGTAAAAGCACGGATGATTAGGCGAAAGGGCGTCGGTGTGGGAAAATGGTGAAGAAACCAGGTGTTAAGGGCCCCAAAATTCTCAAGGGCGAACTTGTCGAAGTAGACCAGAAACTGCGATGAAAAATCGTCGTTGCTCGAACTGTCAAATTTTGTCGTTACACCACCAGAATTTCGATGGTACTTTCCGCAGCTGCAACGGGCAGCACCTGACGTGGTGAAATCAGATCGTTTGTCTCAGAATACTAGCGTAAGAATGATGCATTGAAAGAAACAGTTGGGTACAAGTAGCTAACCCTAGTTGGGTTTGTACCCTGTATTGGCTACCCCACTACAGCCTACCCACATATATATAACACATTACAACTTAACACACCCCCATAGGCAAAGTGGGGGAGAGCAAAGGGTCACAAGACCAGTCCAGCAAAGCAAAACAAGCCCAGGGTGGATCACAACGTCACCACACTCCGAGCACAAGCAAAGGCCACAAGGCCAGTTCACATGCAGTGCTAGATATAGAACAGGACAAGCAGCAAGATATATATAAAGTACAGTACAAAGAAAGTCAAGCAGTAAGCAAGTGAGGAAATGTGGACACAAGGCCTAAAGAAGTACAGTGCCGCTGATGATCACTAGGCGGGAGCGCCTTGGTGAAGATATCAGCAGTGTTGGCCTTCGAGTCCACGTACACAAGCCGAAGCTGACCGCGCTGCTGAAGCTCTCGAGCAAGAAAGTAGCGAAGAGAAATGTGCTTCGTCCTGTGCTCCAGTCTGTGCTCCTGACACAAGGCAAGGGCCGCCTTGTTGTCACCGTACAGAACTGGAGGAGAACTAGGCCGCTCTCCCAAGTCAGTCAGCAGGTAGGTGAGCCAGCGTAACTCCTGTGCAGCCATGGCCGTGGCGTAGATCTCAGCCTCACAACTAGAGCCGAGAACAGAAGAAGAGCGGGTGGACTGCCACGAGACAGAACCAGAGCCAAGGCTGAAGGTGTAACCCTGTGACGACCGCTGCGTAGCCAGGTCGTCCACCCAAGAAGCGTCCGAGTGACCAGTGAGGACAACTCTGTCGCGTCCTCCAAGCACCAGCCCCATGCCTGATGTACTGCACAAGTAACGCAGCACCCTCTTAGCAGCCTCCCAGTGCTCTCGCCTATGTCTCCCAGGCGCAACGTAACGAGCAAGGATGCTAAGAGGGTACGCGAGGTCAGGTCGCGTGCAAGTCATCAGGTACATGAGGCAGCCTACAAGCTCTGGGTACGGGCCACTCGGCTCTACGGACTCGTCCGAAGGTGGAGCTAAGAGCGAGTGGCTGGTAGCCAGAGGTGTGGCCTGTGGTGAGGAGAACTGGAAGCCGAAGCGCTGAAGGACCTGCTGCACCATGTGTGACTGAGTCAGGGTGATGGTGCGGCGTGCTCTGTCCCGGGTGATCTGCAAGCCAAGGTAGCTACGCAGCTCACCCAGGTCAGTGCAGGTGTGTCTCTTCTGCAGCTCCGACTTCACACGAGCAAGTGCCTCAGTGTCAGCAGTAGCAAAAACCAAGTCGTCGACGTACACGAGGATGTAGAACGGCGGCAGCGACGTGTCTGTGCGCAGGAACAGTGACGGGTCAGCAGTGGAAGGAGCAAACCCAAGGGCCGCAAGTGTAGTCCTCAGTGTGTCGTGCCACTCGCGCGGTGCCTGGCGGAGACCGTAGACTGGCCGCCGGAGGCTCCACTGGGTACCAGGAGGAAACGACCCAGTAAAGCCAGGTGGGCGGCGCAGCCAGATCTCCTCGTGCAGGCTGCCCTGCAAGAACGCTGTGCTGAAGTCAAGAGAGTGAAGCTCGTAGTCACGCTGAGCAGCAACGTGCAGCAGAACCCAAAGAGTGGTCATCTTCGGGGTGGGGGA